CATACTTCAAAAAAATGAAAAATAAATTGAAATGTTAATAGGAGTAACCCCTGGGTGTTGGAATTATAGGTAATCGTATTTTTCCTATATTATTCCATGTATTCCAAATTTACTACAGTAAACATGTGGCCATAAATTTCTGTGACTTTATTTTACAATATATGTTCACACACAGGAGGCCACCGTGCTTCCAACGGGTGCAGTGAAACTGGCCTGGGCAGGAGGCCACCACTTCTCTTCCTGAGGATCCATGTCCGCTCTCCTGAGCCTGGGCCAGTGACTCCCAAATCGGTCTGGACATTAGAGTCACTGGGGAGCTATTTACCACTTCAGATACTTGGGCCACACTCCCAGAGATTCTGATTTTCTTGATATAGAATGGGGTCCAACATGGTACCCCTCAAGTTTAAAGTACTGAGACTACGAACCACAGTGTCTGAACTGGCAAAGCTTCCACTTTCCCCAGGGGAGAGCTGCCTGAGGCACAGGGAGTCCCCACTAGAGAAGGTTGTGAAGTGAGGAGCATGCCCTAGGATTTGGGAGCTTCCTGGGAAAACAAGAGCTTAGAAAGCCCAAGGTAGCCCTGCTCCAGCCAGACAACAGGAGAGGGAGTGGCAAAGCCTTTAAGAAAGAGCACAGATGGCCCAGCCAGCGTGGCTCAGGGGTTGAGCATAGACCTATGAACCAGGAGGTCACAGGTTTAATTCCTGGTCAGGGCACATGCCCGGGTTGCATTGTGGGGCTTGTAGGACAGAAGAAGAAGAAGAAGAAGAAGAAGAAGAAGAAGAAGAAGAAGAAGAAGAAGAAGAAGAAGAAGAAGAAGAAGAAGAAGAAGAAGAAGAAGAAGAAGAAGAAGAAGAAGAAGAAGAAGAAGAAGAAGAAGAAGAAGAAGAAGAAGAAGAAGAAGAAGAAGAAGAAGAAGAAGAAGAAGAAGAAGAAGAAGAAGAAGAAGAAGAAGAAGAAGAAGAAGAAGAAGAAGAAGAAGAAGAAGAAGAAGAAGAAGAAGAAGAAGAAGAAGGAGAAAGAGCACAGCTATGGAATCAAACAGAAGATGGGATCAGATCCTGCTCTGTAAAAGCTCTTCGACCTTGGGCTTACCCTCCCTGAGGCTCAACTATATCACAGCAATTCACAGGGAAGCTAACATCTACCTTCATAGAATTACAAATCTGAAATAAGACACTGATGTAAAACATTTAATTCAAAGCCCATACTAGCCAGGGAAGGAATACATGTTTTAAAAATAAGTGTAAGATAGCTCATTGAAAACTACAAACTTCTTTGAAAGATATTAAAGAAAACCTAAAGAATAAATAAATAAATATCCTGTGTTTAATGAATCAGAAGATTAAATTCTGTTAAAGTGACAATACCTCCAAAATTGATATACAGATTCAATGCAATCCCCATCAGAACACCAGCTGGTTTCTTTGCAGAAATTGACAAGCTGGTCCTAAAATTCGTATGGAAATTCAAGGGAGCCAGCATAGCCAAAACAATCTTGAAAAGCAGAAATTTGGAGTGCTCACATTTCCTGGCTTCGAAACTGTCAACAAAGCTACAGTAATCAGTAATCAAGGCAGTGTGGTGTTGGTGTAACGACAGCCACAAATCGATGTAGAATTGAGAATCCAGAAATAAACTCACACTTACAGTCATCTGAATTCTGGCAAGGATGCCAAGACTACTTGATAGGGGAAAAACAGTTTTCTCAGCAAATGGTGCTGGGACAACAGAATATCCAAAATGAAGATGACCTGGGACCTACTACCTCACAGTACAGATACATACAGAAATTAACTCAGAATTAATTACAGACCTAAATGTAAGAGCTAAAGCGATAAAACTCTTAGAAGAAAATACAGGCATAAATCTTTGTGACCTTAGATTAAGGAAGGATTTCTTAGTACAAAAGCACAAAGCAACAACAGAAAAAAACAGATACATTAAACTTCATTAAATTTAAAACTTTTGTGTTTCACCATCAAGAAAATGAAAAGACAACCCAAAGAATGGGATAAAGTATTTGCGAATCATTACCTAATAAAGGACTTGTACTTAAAATATATAATGTTTACAAGTCAATAATAAAAAGACAAATAACCCATTTTTTTTAATGCGCAAAGGATCTGAATAGACTTTTCCCCAAAGAAGATACACAAATGGCCTATAGGCACATCATTAGTCATTATATCAGAGGAATATAAGTCAAAACCACAATAAGATACCAGTTCACACTCACTAAATGGCTACAATCAAAATCACAGATGAAGCAGGTATTGGCAAGGAAGTGGAGAAATTGGAATCCTCAAACATCGCTAGGAGCTGAGGGTGCACTGGTGCAGCCACTCTGGAGGGCAGCGTGGCAGTCCCTCAAAAGGTGGAGCATAGGGTTTCCCGGAAGTTCTACTCCTCTATGCCCAAGAAAAATGAAAACATGTCCACAAATGTTCACAGCAGCATCCTTTATAATAGCTAAAAAGTGGAAACAACCCAAATAGCCATCAATTGATGGATGAATAAATACAATTTTTACAGCCATAGAGTAGAATAGAATCTGGCAATGAAAAGAAATGATATAGGCTACAACACAGTCCAAGGAGCAGCTCCAGCCATCAGCTTAGAGATGGAAGCTGACGCCATGGTAACGAATGAGACCACCAGAGACGAGTAGAAGGGAGAAAAAGAGACCAGGCAGAGTCCCGAGACACCTCTGCCTGTCCAGGGTGAAGAGGAGAAAATCTCATGAAAGAAACAGACATAATGATCAGCGTGGGAGGCGGAGAGGAGAGCGTGGGGTCATGGAGCACACGGGAAGAGAGCGCCCAGAGGCAGGGGCACTGGGCTACGATGAATGCTCCTGAGAAGTAAACTAGGAACCGAAAGGCTTCCGCTGGGTTTGGTAAGAATCACTGGAGACCTGGGCATGAGCAGGGTGGTGGGGAGGTGGAGGCAGAAGCCGGGCTGCAGTGTGTTGAGGACTCAGCAGGATGTGAGGACCTGGAGATAATCGCTGACTGGACGTCAGTAGGTCGGGCTGAGAGAGAGGAGCTGTAAAGTCCAGGTATTTTGGTTTGGTTCTTCACTGGGTTGCAATGGAAAGAGCCAGTGGGGCCAATGAGTATACAGAGGAGGGAAGGAATGCTGTGTCCCTTCACAGCTGTGGCTGAACCATCTGACTTCACCGTTAATTATGGCCATTCCCAGCCTGTGGAGATCTGTCCCTACAGCCCAGCTCTCAACCCTGAGGCTGCCTGGCCTCTCGCCTCCCTGGTCCATCCACTGACAGCCCTGCGTGCCCATGCAGGACTGGTCACCACAGACAAACATCACACTGTTGGCGCCATCTTGAATTATGCAGTTTTTAAAAATATATATTTTATTGATTTTTTACAGAGAGGAAGGGAGAGGGATAGAGAGTTAGGAACATCGATGAGAGAGAAACATCGATCAGCTGCCTCCTGCACATCTCCTACTGGGGATGTGCCCGCAACCAAGGTACATGCCCTTGACCAGAATCGAACCTGGGACCCTTCAGTCTGCAGGCCAACACTCTATCCACTGAGCCAAACCAGTTAGGGCGAATTATGCAGTTTTTAAGGGATACTGGCAGAGCCTTTCCACATGAAGAGGCAGAGTGGTGTTGGAGGCCCTGGGAAGAGAGGCAGAAAGGAGTCATCCCAGACACGCAGCACGGCCAGGAGTCCCTGCCAGCCAGCAATCAGCAGCAGAGGCACAGCCCACAGTCTGCCCAGGGCCTCAATGAAGCCAGGCTGCAATCAAAGAACCGCTCACTCCCAGGAAGGCTCGACTCCCCCCGACACAGCAAGGCTGGCTCTCTGGCCTGCAGTGCAGAGAATGAGCCTGGGGCCAAGGGCCTATTTTCTAGTCCTGACTCTGCCATGAACTTGCAGTGTGACCCTGCCCTGAGGCCTTGGTTTTCCTGTTAGACAAGGGGTTGCATGTGAGAACTCAAAGACTCTTGCAACCTTGACCGTGTATGGGTGGTGGGTGCACCAGCTGCAGAAGACAGATGCGCCGCAGTCTCCCAGCCTCGTTGGAGTCAGACAGCGGAGGAGCCGTCCACCTGGGCCTCCCACTTGCACTCCTCCTCCTCCTTCCCCTGCTCTTTCCCAAGAGTCTCTGAAGTTGCTCAAGTGATACACCACACTTCCCATGAGGCTGTGTGTAGAAAGGAGAACACAGGAGGCCGTGGCCATGGGGCCATACCTGAGACCACGGCTCTGCACACAGCTTCCCTTTCAGGACACCTCATCACAGACCCCACCAGACCCCCAAGACCAACACAACATCCCTGAGGGGGCAAACCAGAGCCCGAGATGCCCCCCTATTTCTCTGGCCTGGTCCCTGGAAAGGCGAATAGATTCCACGGGTGCTGGGGACCCTCCGTAGCCATGCTGCAGTGGAGAGGGGACCCCATCATCTTGTCTCATTTGTACACAGGGCCGAGCCCCCTCCCTCACAGGGCAGCTGTTTCTGCCCATTCTTTGGGCCAAAACTACATTCTAGGGACCCTGCCATCAGTAGAGTGCAAATGAGGTCCCCGCCAGGAGTCCTGGGTGAGACCCATCTCCTGACTGTAGAATGCAGGCCTGGGATGCTGGTGGGATAAGTGGGATGCAGGTCTGGGTATCCAGACAGGGGGAAGGAATTCCCTCCGTGGTCCAGGGGAGGCCTGGCTGAGAGTCCCAGGACTGGAGCCCAGGGCTCTGGGCCTTCGCATGAGCATCACCTGGCTGAAGTCAGGGCCAAAGGGCCACTGGAGGATCCAGCAGGAACAAACCAAGACCACAACAGCCACAGTGAGTGCAGGCTCTGGTTAGGGGTCACACCCTCCCTTGGGCCCCATTCCACACACACCCCAACACACATGGTGTTCACGGCCACCATGACGCCCACGTCCTGCCCACCACCTCCCTGCACAGCGTCCTGAGGATGGCCTCTCCCAGCCAGCGCTCCCCTCTCCCCAGCCAGCTCACCGAGCGATCTCCCTTCCTTCCTTCCAGTACTTCCTCCTGGTTGTTCTCCTGAGGAGGAAAAGCAGGGGTGACTCCACGCCCGTGTTGCCTCACCTCAGCATTCCTGCCCCTTGCCTGGCCAGACCGTGGTCACTCAAGGCCTCCTGCAGGGCCCCGGTCTCAGCTGCTTCAGATGGGAGTTAAGTGGGATCAGGGTGGAGGGACTTCCGTCGGGTGCTCCCTCTGTGGGGCCCAGGACAGCAGGCAGGCGGCCCAGAATGAGGGTGGTAATGACCAGAGCTGTGGGAATGAAGCAGGGGCGGGTGGAGGCTGGGAGGAGGAGCCCACCGAGAGGCAGAGGGCAGGAGCCGGAGCTGCCACAGGCAGAGGCCTCACTCTGTGCGGAGGAAGCCCCCGAGGTCCGGGGCAGGCGGAGGAGCGAAGCCTCCTCGTTCACCTGTCCCCAGCCGAGGCTTCGGAAGGTGTGCGAGGTGGGACCCCATGTGGTGATGGAGAAGGGGAGGCCTTGGAACTGCACAGGGGTGGGGTCATTAGGGGGGTGGAGTGGAGTGGACGTGAGGTGGGGTCCATGGGCTAAAGGTGGGGGTGTTGAGTGCTTACCGATCTCTTCGGTGGCCCCGTTTCAGGGGCCCAGGTTTCCTTTGTTGCTTTGAATGCTGAGATCCCATGGGCCGGGGAGTGCCTCCTGGGAACAAAATCCCTGTCTTGGCAAAAGGGCGCAAACCCAGAAAGAAAGCACAGGGATCCTAGGCCCCATGGCAGCCAGAGGATGAACAGAGTTTGGGGGCCGGTCCTGTTTGGGCTACACACACAGCCTAGAGCCTGGTGCAGTTCCTTGTCTCACTGGGCTCAAGCCATTGGGTGTCTTCCTCCATCACCGTGGCAATCGTTAGACCAACACGGATTCATTAGGACATGGAAACCCTCTCTGCTGGTCACAGTCTCCCTCCTAGGCCCTTCAGGACCAGACTAAATCCCCAAGGCCTAAGCAGCCATGCCACTCAGGGACACCCAGCTGCTAATTTCCACATCAACACACCGAGGGTATATCCCTGCATCTGTGGTTACCATAGCAACCCAGGCAAAGCCAGATGCACTGAGGATAAAGGCCCCATCTGGAGGACCACAGCCAGAGGACCGCATTCACGGACACTCTGTGGCCAGCCCTGGGCTAGGTAGGGTTCCGTAGCAGGCTCTGTGCTGAGGGACACACACATTGTCCATCTGAGGGACGATGGGAGATCTAGAGTTTCCTCATTTGTGTCCTTAGTTTCTTGTCCTCTCTCTCCACCTAAAGACTACCTGAGCAATCTTATCCCCTCACAGGGCTTCAACTCCCACTCCCTTACATCAAGGATCTCCATGCTACATCATGGGCCCATCCCTCTCCTAAAATCTAAACCCCTCCATCTACGTGCTCTCTGGACACATGGACCTGGATGTCCACAGCACTTCACACTGAGGTGCGCAGCTTGGGCCTCTGTGAGTCTGAGCACTGGTCTTGTACATTCTGTCTCTGTGAGTGACAACCAGCCCCCCAGGCACCACCATAGCTTCCCGCTTTTCTTGTCCACCTTCTCTGCCAACGCAGACAGCCATCAAATAAATCCTTCTGACGTCACCTACTAAGCACCTCTCAACTGCACCATCACCTCGCTAGTCCCACATCCATGCTAGGGCTGCCCTGTCTGCTGTCTAGATCTTGGGCATCAGGATGGTGTCTGCCTCCAACCTGCTCCTCTAAATCCGTCCTCTGCTGGCACCAGAGCGAGCTGCGTGCTAAATGCCAATCTGATTATGTCTCTGACCAGACCCTGCCTAAACCCTCCAGACGCTCCTGCCGCCTCAGGGCAGAAGCTTAGCTGCGGTGCTCTGCCCAAGTCCTGCCAGCCCTCCAGCCTCACCTGCCACCAGGCGCTCACTCTACATCCAGGTCACGTCCCCTCCGCCTGTCTCTCCCCTACATCCAGTCCACTTCTTCCCCCTTCTTGTCCATCCTTGGCCACACTCTTCAGTGGGTGCCTAGAAGAATAATCAGGACTCTGGGATTCGATTTCAAATTTCTGAGGGGAAAGTGATGCCTAGATGCAAACCCGGACGTTGCTGACCCCACTCCGACTAGACCCTGGAGGCCTTGGCCCTTCGGTCTTGCCAAGCAAACCGGAAAGACTTGTGGGGAGACTGTGAGCGGCTGGGGAGGAGGGTGCACAGCCGAGCCCGTTCCGGTAACGCCCATGGCCTCCAGAAGACAGAGAACCACAGGCTGTCGGCTGAGACTGAGCTGAGAGGGCATCTCACCCCCACCCTTCATGACACAGGTGGGAACGTCAGAGGGAGGAAGGGTCAGACAGGCCTCCCAGCCTCAGTCCTCTCTACTGTGACACAGTCTTCCGAGTGGGGCAGCTTCCAGGTGGGGAACCGTGTGCGTGTGCCTGCCTGGGACTGGAGACCTCACGCCTCTGTCTCTCATAAACTCTCAGGTGTCTTCTGTCCTGCTGCGGACTGCATGGAACTTTCCAGTCAGGGTCAAAGGGCATCTCAAAGCCAATACTCAGACCACCACCTTCTCAAGCACAGTGTACTCCATGGTCCCCTTCCTGCCCAAGATCTCAGGTTTGCACACTGGTCCACACATTAAATCAGGGGATGCGGACCAGGAAAAAGCCCTATCGACTGCAGGTGACGCCGGCTGCCTCCGAGGAGGCCCATCCTCACCTTGAGGCTGGGTGGGGCTCAGCCACATGACACCCTGGGGGAAGGATGGACAAAGAGAACCAGGGGACCTCAGCACTGAATCAAGTGCATCCCTCAAGGGTCACCCCTCCCTGGCAGGAGGCCCTGTGAAGCGGAGCTGATGGGCAGGTGACTTGGCAGCCTCTGTGCGCACACTGGCAGCGTCAGGGCTCTCTCTCCTGGGCGGTCCCTCCGCCTCTGCGGTGGGCAATTTCTTCGCCTCAAATCAAGCCCAAGCACACTGCCCTTTGGTTCTAGTTCTGTGCTCCAGAGCCCTGCAGACATGGCTGGCCGGCTGGCCGGCGCTTGGCCGTGTTGGGGCACTCGTACACGTTGGCTGCTGTCATGGTGAGCACGGCCTTCGAGGGAGGGCGCTACTGTTGATATTTCCCGGAAGAGGACACTGAGGCTCAGGGAGGGACCCGCCTCGTCAGTGGCCGAGCAGGCACTGGGTGCCCTGCTGCCAGGCTGGGCGACTGGAGTGTGGGCTCTCAGGTGCTAGGGAGGCCTCAGAGGGAGACGGTGGGGGCAGAGCGCTCCCAACACATCTCACCTGAGAAGCCCGGCCTCCCACTGTGATGGCTTCTGGGCAAGAGCACAGAGCGGCCCAGCGACCTAGGCCTGGGCCTTGACATGACAAAGCCGCAAGTTCCAGGTAGGATTTGGCGTCCCAGGGAACCCCCTTCAATATGGATCTTTCTGAAATATTTAACCCTTGCGGCCCAGCGACCTAGGCCTGGGCCTTGACATGACAATGCCGCAAGTTCCAGGTAGGATTTGGCATCCCGGGCACCCCCTTCAATATGCATCTTTCTGAAATATTTAACCCTCAGCACAGCTAAGGGAGGGGGTAGGATACAGGGGAGGGGGGGCATTCTCCAATGACCCGCGTGCCTCAGCTGTCAGGTCTTGCTCCGCAAAGCAAAAGCCCTTCAGCGAGTCCGACCCACCCTCTGCAGAGGCTGCTTAGCCAGCATCCATGTCTACGTCAGCGATTCGCCTTCCTGTCACACAGATCCTCACAGTCTTCCATTAGCCACACGCTGTCCTCTCCCCGGGAGGGAGTCAGGTACATGTCATTTCCTCCATCCCCATCCACATCCAGCAATGTCTCAGCTTCCTTTGAGATTCGTGCATCAGGGACGCTATCGGGCCTGCCTGTACTTATCCCGCCCTGGCCCGGCATGATTATAGGAGCGCAGCAAGCCCAGCGTGTTCTGTCCTCAATTACCAGAGTAGTTACCATGGCAACCTGCAGGCCCTCTCGGAGGTGTCTGAGGATGAAGCAGGTCCAGGGGGTGGGGTGGAGAACGGGCATTCAGGGAGGACAGCCTATGGTGGGGCCCCAGTTCAGACAGAAGCTGAGCCCCAACCTGAGGCAGTAGACAGTGAGAACTGAAGGGAACAGGGGTGCAGGGCCAGCAGGAAGTGGGGAGCAGGGCCAGGACTAGGGTGAGCTGAATGAAGCATTCACCTGGGGTATAAAATTTAAGAAAGTGCCAAAAAACTTAGTGACCAAGATAAATGATATTTAAATCAAAATGAATGTAAAATTATCTTCAATAAAATATCAATTTTTAAAACATAGACAGGGTCCTCCAGGGCTGGAATGAGGGTGAATCGAGGGAGGCCACGTCCTGCACCGTCTTTACTAAATTTTTGGTTTTGTTCACTAGGGATGTTTTTGCATCCATTTTGCTTATTAAAAATTATTGTATGAAAATGTGAACTGAAGGGAACAGGGGTGCAGGGCCCAACAGGAAGTGGGGAGCAGGGCCAGGACTAGGTGAGTTGAATGAGGCATTCACCTGGGGTACAAAATTTAAGAAAGTGCCAAAAAAACTTAGTGACCAAGATAAATGATATTTAAATCAAAATGAATAAAATTATCTTCAATAAAATATCAATTTTTAAAACACAGACAGGGTCCTCCAGGGCTGGAATGAGGGTGAAGCGAGGGAGGCCACGTCCTGCACCGTCTTTACTAAATTTTGGGTTTTGTTCATTAGGGATGTTTTTACATCCATTTTTCTTATTAAAAATTATTGTATGAAAATGTTACTTACCTGGGTGACTGAGCTTTTTGGCGGTTCCTTAAATTGTGTACCTGCCTCATTACCCTAGTCTCAGGCCTGGAGGGGAAGACAGGCTGAGTCAGGGGCAGGAGGGAGCCTGAGGCAGCTGAAAAGGCGTCATGTGACAGGGAGCCAGGAGCCAGGAGTTCCTGTCAGTTCTGACAGAATCCAATTCAGGTTTTACAAGACTGTGCAACTTGAAGGCTGCTGTTGGGGAGCACAGGTGCCTAGTATGCACATGCTCCCCCCTAAACTACGGGGATGATAGTAACTCAGAGGGGGGCTCCCGCCTCCTGCCCTCCCTCAGGCTGGCTGTGGAGGGGAGGGGAGGGGAGAGGAAGGGGGAGGGGAACGGAGGGCGGAGGGGCGGCAGGGGAGAGGCTGGCAGCTTTGTGCCACTGGGAGCAGGGATGGCAGATCAGCTGTAATTGCCTGAAGCTGAGAGGCTGTTGATAAGTGTTACTAATAATCAACCTTCAGATCTGACACCAGCTCAGGCTGGGATTACTGTTTTGAAAGGAAATCGAACCCAAACCAGTAATTACCCGGTGAGTGATGCCAGTCTTCCCTGGAGCCTGCTCTAGGCAGGGAAATGGCACCTGCATGTCGGTGTCAGCCCTCAGGGAGGGGCTCCCTCCAGCTGCCTCTTCCCGAGGGCACCGGCTGGCCTGGCCTGCCTCCCTCAGTGGGACAGTCAACAGAAGCCCCCACCCTTCTCCCCAGGCACTGCAGTGGGAGGGACGCCCACCCATCGCCCACCCATCGCCCCTGCCTCCTGGCAGAATCCCGACCTCAGACCTCACTCACGCCCAGACTTGGGCTGGTCGAGAGCCCTTATGGACATTGTCCCAAGCTGTCAAAAGCAGTTTCTGGGTTCATGGAGGGGGCGGGTGGTGGCTGTATTCCCTGATACACATGCAGCCCTTGAAGCCTCTGGCAGGGACCCTTGGACAGCCACACAGTT